GCTTCAGCCTCAGCCATCAGTGACATGGAGCTCCCAAGATATTATCCACAAGGGAGTGCAGTGCTTGGCAAGAAAAGTTTGCCGGCCCTTGAACTGCAGGCTTGCCCAAGACTCCCCAGATGCACTTGGGCCAAAGTTTCTGACAGAGGCTGCTGATGCTCGGAGAAAGCATGTTGCAACATCCAGCTGCTCCCAGATAAGGAAACAACGGCAACGACTCCCAGTCCAGCAAAACAAGCCACACTTGCTGCCCCGTAGCAACGGCTGTCTCTGCAGAGAGAGGTTCCAGACCGAAGGAGTGTTGGTCCAAGACTGCAGCCGCTCTCAAGTGCCACCTTGCCAGGGTGGAGGAGGCAAGAACAAGCCAGGAAGGCCCAAAACCAGACTGAGGCGCGATGAAGTGATATAAGGTCAGGGAGTTCTAGCTTTGAAGGAAGAGCTCCCACGCACTTTCTTTGCCAGAAGCAAAGTGGAGAAAAACCAGTAAGCAAATAATCGTATTTCAGAGAGTCGGAGGCGGCACATACCAGGCATTGCTGCCCACAGTGTGCTCACCCATGCCATTGCTGCCTCTAGAAAACAGGTCTGGCAGGTTTTTACAGTGCTCCAAAGCCTATAGAACCTAGTTGACCAAAGTCCCCTGTGAGGCAAAAGAAATGAGGCTGAAGCCAGACCAGCCCTTCTGGAATGGCATGGGAGGAACAAAATCAGCAGCGAAAATACCTACAGACTCTGGCTGAGGATAGGCGAAAGTGAGAGTACTGTACCTGCAGTCTCTCTCTTCCAGCTCTCAAAAATAAAACCAGTCTCAGCTGAATCAGCCTAACCTGCATGGCACAGTCAACAAGGACGCTGGTCCCAGATTTCCGGAAGGCCATATTGATGAAGCTAAGCTAGTTTAGTTCTGTTCTGTGCCTGGATGGAAACCTTCTCACATCACCTTGAGGGTCATCAGAGAAGAATCAAGAGAGGTAAATGCCACATACAGTCCTCTAAAAGCATGCGCACCTCTCCAATAAAAGTTCTACTCTATGAAACATATTTATGTATGTAAATAGCACCGATGAGGCCTCCAAAGGGGCTCGCATCCAACGTTTAAAGTAACAATAACACGACCAAATAAATTAAAAAGCTGAAAGCAGAAAGTGGGGTGCCAAGCCTCTTTCAGCCCAACAGTCAGGGGCCATTTCAGAGACACTCTCGGGGTCCACTTTTCAAGTGGAGGGAAGGACTGGAGGCAAAAAGGGAGGCAGCAAAGTACTGGGGCTAAAACTACAAGAAGAATAACCCAACCAAGCAGATTGTAGTTTAAAGTTTGTAGTATTAGTAACTCAGTCTTAGGAGAGGCATTCCAATCTTCCAGGACAGGGAAAACGCCTGCACAAAGTCAGGGAAACCAGCCAAGGACTGGTGATCGGGGAAAGTTAAAGGGGACATGGCTATCTCTGGAGACACACCGGGCAGGATTTGGCCCCCAGGCCTGAGGCTCTGCACTTGTTCCATAAACGGAGAGAGGAAAGCACTCGGCCATAGAAAAAGAAACGGCAGGTCCAAAGTGGCCTTAATAGAACTGGGCAGTTTGATCTGGGTCTCAAAGGCCCAGGCAGAGGCAGAGGCAGAGGGCACTGCAGTGCGAGAGTGGACTGCACAAAGGAAGCCCATCTGCTGACTCTTCAGAACTGAGGGTGCTTAGCAGAGGACATCATATGATGAGGCTCTCAGACAATCCCTAAGAAGAGGGAAATGCTGAAAAGGAAGTCGAAAGGGAAGGCTAAGAGGCTTGAGGATCTCCGGAAAGCTCAGGGGTTACTCAAAATGGCAATCATAGAAGCGCACGGGTCCAGAAAGGTAGCGCCGAGGCCAAGAGGTCACCAACACTGTCAAGGAAGCCCTTGGAGCAAAGACAGCCCCCTTTAGCAAATGGAGGCCTTGTCGAAGCAGCGAGAACCAAGGGGAGCACAAACATGGGCAAGCTGACAATAAGGGATGCAAACCGTTTTGAGGAGCACATCCCTAAGGTCATTAGGACCAGCTGTAATACACCACTGAGATCCATCAGAAACAGGAACCTGGCTGGCGAGGAGACCCCCAAGGGCCCTGCTCCTGTTTGTGATTGGCCCTCCTGACTGTGCTCCCCCTTGGCTGGTATACAGAGGCATCCTGAGCCTGCTCTCTGATGCTGGAGGTACCGTCAACAGACTAGCAGCCGCTGAAAGCCGTTTGCTCCATGAATCCCCTCGGAAAGCTGCCCGAACTATCGCGAATTCCACAGTTCACATTCCGCACTGGCTGAAAAAAGGATCTCTTTGACCTGCCCTGAATCTCCTGCCATTCAGCTTCGTGGGGTGACCCCACCAGGTCCGGCAGTCGGGCAGAGGAAGAAAAAGCCTCCCTGGACAACTAAACCGTCTGTGGTGCTCCCACCCCCGGTGTGTGCACAGGCAGTGAGTGAGCAGACCTTCTGGGGACGCATCGTGGAGGAGACCGTGAGAGGAGACTGTGAGTCAGACCAAAGGTCCCGCTCACTCCGCTCATATGGGAGTCACATGCCGGGAGTGTGAGCAGTGGCGGGTAGATTTTATTTATTTACACATTCCTACCCCATCCTTAACAGTGTCTCAGGACAGCTTACAACAATCACCAAACAGTAAATAAACAGAAAAAGTACGACCCACATAAAGCAATAAGACAAGGTAGAATGCAATGAATAAAAGATTCTCACTCTTGCTCAGTGTCAGGGAAATAGATTGGGCCTTCTTTCCTGGACGCCTGTTTTTTGCATATCAGGAGCATTTGGTTATGTGGGTCCTTGGATCAAGCAGGTTTACCATCCTGACTGCTATTTCTGAGAAGCAGGGCTTAAACTCTTTCTGTATTTATATTTATCTTAAATTGTCTGTTCTGCTTATCTGTAACTTTGATGAAATCTGCTTTCATTGTAAAGTCAGTACCCTTGCTTGGTAATCTAGCCATTTCACATGGGGAATGTCACAGTTGAAAGTCAGAATATGGAAGAAGTAGCTGATGAATGGGCGATTTTAGCCCTCCTCAGACATTCTTCCCCACAGGTGTCCTTCACTGTGAGGTGAGGAACATGGTTGCCATGTCCTCATCGCCGGATTCATCGCCCGCCAGGGACCCTGCTGTACCCACGCAATGCAGAACCACGGAAGAGACCCTGCAGCAGAAATCCTTCAGAAGCGGAGTGGGCTTCTCGTTCCAGATGTGCAAGACACAAATCGTGGAGGGCTGCACGGAGGGGGCACAACCCATGTGCTCATCCACAACACTCATTGCACAGCATGAATCTGTGGGATGGCCAAAAAGCGTGATCGGGTCAATGCCAGGGAGAAAAGGGGTAGTGTGGAAGCATGGTTGCTCTTTCTGATGGGCAGCAAAGGTGTTTCTAGGCTGTCGAACCTTCGGATCTTTCCATCAGCATCAGTGGAAGGTTTTCCCCTAAGTTTAATTGCCTTGCATGTCAGCAAGGGTGCGTAAGCGGAGGGAGGGGAGGTTAATGCTTTTCTCTCTAGCTGGACTCTCCTTTGAGAATTGTCCCTTGCATGGTAATTAAGCTGATTTCAAAAAATTCCATTGGCACTGATGGACAGCTCAGATGGCAAGGGACAGATCTCGGGCTGTGGAAAATGAATCCAGGGCCGTGACCCCATCAGCCAGGCCTAACAACACGCTCTGTCCCACAGGCTGGGGAGGAACAGCTCTAGAAAACGTTCATGCCAAACCAAGGAAAAGGCAGCTGTGAAGCTGTGTTTACTATTTTTTGGAAAGCAGTTTGGAGTTTAACTAATTCTTGTGAAAGCAGAGGCGGCGATGGATGATAAGTGCATGCTGGTAGATTTAATAGTGGGCCCTGTCAGAAGTTTAGGCTTTAGCCCTGGGCAATGGGAGGAGAGTTATGGGCTAGTCACAGACTCAGTCCAAGCTACCTCACAGGGTTGTTGTTATGAGGATAAGACTGAAAGGAAGAAAAGTATGTAATCCACCCTGAGTTCCTTGGAAGGCAGAAGGTGGGATATAAATATAATAAATAAATGGACTGATGAATACGCATATGTTGACATTGCTTCCATCAGCAAGAGAGAGCTAGTGATGGATCTTCTCCTCCCTACAGCAACATGAAGCAATTTTTTCTCCCCCACCTTCTGGTAACTCAGAATGCAAAGGTAATCCAGCTGACCATATTGATTATCTTTTATTATTTCTACCAGCTGATGTGATCAGAATTTCCTGCTGCTGAGCTGCTAAAATGTCAACTGGAGTGGCGATGTGGTTATCCTCGGCCCCCTTCAGGACGGCTAAATTAATGACGTGCCTCCAACACCACGTTTCTATGGTCTCTGATGCAGCGATATGATCACTGGTGTAAACGAATGAGCACTGGTCCTCTTCCTTCCAGACAATGAGTTTTTATCTGCTATAATCTGGAAATTCAGAGCCCGAGTGTGTGTGTGTGGGGGGGGGGGGGGGCTAGTTCACAGAACCTCAGGTTGTGTTCTGCAATGAATTAGAGTTCAGACTTTCAGTAGATTGAAATTAGGAACAGTGTGTATTGGAAGGCTGCAGCATCTCAGGTCGAGCCTTTAAAGGAAGACTTAGACGCTCAGAGGCAGGAGACTGTCCCTCAGACATCTTGGACGGCATTCCTGGTCACTGGCTGTGCTGGCACAGGTGAAGCCTGAGGCCCAGGTGTCTGTGCAAGTGAGCTAAAGCATCCCTGGAGAAGGAAGGAGGAAAATACAAACCAGCCCCCTTCTCTCGGGTCACAAGCCATCCAACCTGGGAAGGGAGTCCTTCCCGACTCCGAACGCTGCAAAAGCTGTGCCTTGAACAGGCACAAAACACCATCCAGTTGAGCAACCCTGGAGGGACCATTTTCCAAGCCACTTTTCAGCATCCTGTCTCTGTGTGGGCCTGTTCCCAGTGCCCAAGGAGAAGCCGCGCATGCTGTTCCCAAGTTCACCCACAAGAGGCTTACTTACTGGGGCAAATCAGCGCTTCTTTGGCAGTGATGCTCTTGTTGCAAGCGTAGCACATGGTCATGCCAGAGACGGTGATGGAAGTGAAGAGGTGCCCGTTGGTGTAGCGGGCATCTTTGTCTTTGCTCTCCTTCATCCTCTCTTTCTCTTTGTTCTGCGGGAAAAGAGAAAGCCTTGGATTAGTGTTATCAGTGGCAAGAGCCCCACCACCCAAGAAAACCTCCTCCTTGGCAGAGCCACACCGGAGGATGAAGAGGGCTTCTCCCCACCCTGACACGCACTCTGCCCTGGCACTTCTCCATAGCACGCCCCTGTTCCCATTCTGCCAGGATTCGCACATCCAAGCAGCAGGGCCAGCAGTGCAGGGTTGCGGTTGGACGTACAGCTGCCCATCAGGACAGTTCCTATGGCTGCATTCCCATTTTTGCCACCCCCAGGTCTTTTGTCAAGTGAGTCCACTCCCTCTCTCTCTCTCTCTCTCTCTCTCTCTCTCTCTCTCTCTCTGTGTGTGTGTGTGTGTGAGAGAGAGAGAGAGAGAGAGAGGGAGGGAGGGAGGGAGAGAGAGAGAGAGAGAGAGAGAGAGAGAGAGAAGGGCAGACAGAAAGGTGCATCTTACACATGAAACAAGATATCTCTCAAATTTTGAATGCCAGAAAGATTTCAGAATAAACATCCAAAATTGGACATTGGGATATTCTGGGACATTAAAAAGCACAGACACCAGGAAAAAAAAGACTACCACCCCAACTCCTGCAGTTACTTTAAGGTAAATATGTTAACTACCAGCATGGCAAAATGAACATGCCTGGTGCTCTTTTCTCCCTGAAATGTCAGCCACGCCCATATATATATATATGAATGATGTGGACATGTCTACTTCAGTTCAACTCAGGTGCGTGGCCACTTGAAGCCCTGCCCGGAAGCCTGAGGGAACCCTTTCTCCCACAGCTGCTCCGTTCCCTTGAGATACGCTGTGCACACACACAGGCACCAAAGCTTCCCGTGTCCCTCGACAATCTGCCTCACTCAGGTGCTTCTCTAAAACCTTCTGGAGCGCAGGAGTTTCGGTACACAGCCCCTCCCTCACGTTAGCCACCAGAAGAGAGCTTAAGCTGGGGATACTTTTTCCACCTCCCTGCTCTTTTAGAGCCACAGGGATTCTGGAAGAATATTGGACCTACCCTTTGACAGAGATCGGAAAGTGCATTAGCTTCAGACAGGTCCTGCACCCCCCATTTCTGCCCCCGCCCCCCGGTCAACCTCCCCAGTCAAAGAGCATGCCACTAGCTGAGATCAGGTGCACTACAGAAAGGTGCTTGTGAAGCAGCCACTCCAGGTGACTCAAGTGAGCAAGCCAAGCTACATGTATGGCTATCAGCCAAGGGGCAAAGCAACTGAATTATCCCAAGGGAACATCCATCAGTCACCACTCCCGCCCTCACCCTGGCCCCGGGGAGCAAGATGCACACAACCTTCACACACAAAGCAAGCGGTACACAGCACAGTGGCCCCTCCAGCCTCGGTCCTCAACACACCTTTCCCATATTTCCTCTCCGGCACGACTGCCGTCCGTTCCAGCTCATCCCTGGACCGGATGGATCCCGACAGGTTCGCGAAACTCCAAGCCTGAGCTGCTTCTCATAAACTGTAGGATAACTCATCCTGGTTTGAGGTGGGTTGCCACTGAGTCATCAAAAGCCCCCGTTCTACCCGTGATACCACCAGAAGCAGGAAAGGAAAAACCACTATGTAAATTGACTTGGGTCTGAAAAGCTCAGAGAGAGAAGATGCGAGGAGGTGGTGGATGAGGAGGTGGAAGGAAAGGGGAAAAAAAGAAGACACCCATGCAGTTTGTCTTCTGCTGCACCTCGCTGCTTCCAATAACCATGACAACCATGTGTCTGGCTGAGAAATTCCACCGCCACCCCCGATGCACGTGCCTGGCTGTGCGGTCCTTAGCACCGAACAATATAAATAAACGGCCTTCTTGCATCTCGTTTTCGTTATGGGATGGGGGGCTGTCGTGGAGACCAGCTGAAGGGCCGTTTTGACATGATAAAGGCAGCATGGTAGCTAAATTGTGTGCCTGTGTGTTAGGTCAGAGAAGTTCTCAAAGGCAGCTTTGATCCCCTTTGATTAGGAAAAAATGTGATATATTTTCCCACTTTAAGTACGATGTCAAATTTAGGTGGGCGCACAAACTCCAAAATGACATCTGGGCTTGACCAGGTCTCCAAATTGTTCTGCAAAGGCAGAGGGGCTAAACGAGGATGCAAAGTGTTTGGATTTCACCAGCAAGCTCAGCTTCTGTGTAACCGTTATCTCAAATCAAGGTGCTTAGGGGCTTGTGCCTGGGACCCCAAGGCTTCAGCCAGAAACCTCAGCACGCATGATTTGGCGATGGTAGTGGGTGACGCAGCAGTGTAAATGCCCAGTCTCAGGGTTTTCTGCGGGTCCAGAAGAAAATGAATCATGCACGGCACTGGCCTTTGTCCTGGGCAGTCAGTATAAAGCTTCTGGATTCGTCAGGCTTGATATGAATACCAGGAACTCAATTTCCTGTTTTGCAAGGGGCCACCTCCAGGCCTGGTTCTGACAGCCTGAAGAAAGGGAAGGCTGATGAAAACAGCGGCAAAAGCAAGATGTCTAATTTCAAAACAGAGAAGGATCAGCCAGGAAACTTGGGCCACTGGCATGCTCTCAACACTGGCCAGTGGAAAATTGCAAAAAGGCGCATGTAGACGCGAGAGGTTTAAGTGCCTGCAGAGCCTGTAAACAGATATAACCATGGCAAGGCAATCAGTTTGCTAAGGCAGCTTCCCTGGAGGAACAGGAAGTGAGATGAAGACTTCCTGTTGCCACATGCCTGAGCAACAGCGCGAGCAAGAGGCCCAGCTATTTTTGACTCAACAGGCATCCCAGTGCTGTGTGAAAGAGAGAGAGAAAGAGGTGTGTGTTGCATATTTTCTTGGGGGGCACGCAGGCCGGCAGAGCAGCGCTAGCAGTGCTTCAGCAGCGGAAGCTTTCCAAGGCAATCCAGAAGATACCTTTAATATGCCAGTGTGCCCTTTGGAGCTCTGAGGAGTAAGCATTTATTCTTCCACCCATGCCTTTAAAAAAAAGATTCCAAAATCCATGTTAGTGTAATTCCTTTATGAAGCTGGCCAAAATGACAAAAGATTGAGCAAGCTTTTAAAAACTTCAGTGAAGAGTTTGCAAACATGGGGGTGGGGGCAGATTTCTGCTTCCTGGTGAAATCAGTACCTGTATGTTCAGAGTCCCACAATGAAGTGGGGCAAGGAGGGGTCTGTGGATATTCAGATGAGCCTCAGTGGAACAGGGGTGCCCACACCTGCAGCTGTCCAGAGGACTGCTAGAACCAGAAAGGTAATAATGTTGGACACTCATTCTGGAAATATAAAACCCAGCTGTTACACAGACATGTTTCCATTCTGGGAAAAGTGCATATTTAACACACTGGCAAAACTGGACTTTTAATAGTCCAGTATACCCCTTGGGGATACTGAGGCACAGTGTCGTGGGGACTGTGGGAAGTATTCCAAAGCACAGGATCACTTTCCATGGATGCGGGTTGGTCCTGTTTTGTGTGAACCACAGTGGTGTGCTGGAACACAGCCTGAATTCCTCAATTAGTGTACTTTTACAGGAGGAAGGTCAGCAAAAGCAGACAAGCTGCTTTATTGAGTAACTTTGATGCACTTCCACAGAACCACAGGGTTTCTTGGAACGCCGTTTGGAAACCTTGGGGCTAGGCTGCCATCAGATGCATGTTGGGCAACTGCTGCCAGGCCACTGTGAAGAAAGCTTCAGAGTGGCAGAAAGTATCAGGTTTGCTACTGCGATGCAGGTGATGAATCTCAAGGTCCCGTGAGGCTGAGAGGCAGGAAGTGGGGCCTGGGAGTAAGAGGGCAGGACCTGGTGGAGCGAGTGGCGCCTCGATCAGGCAGCACATGGCTATGCCTGGTGCTTCGAGTCCAGCACACTGGAGCACAAGGGGTAAAAGGCTGCAAGCCGAGCAAAGACCAGCCCCTCCTCCTGCCTAGAGGCCTGCCATACCCTCTGGCCCTCGGACCTTCCAGAGGCAGCAAGGGATTCTGAGGACAAGGAGGCACAGCCCATGTCTGTGGGACAGGACCACTGGTGGGTTATTGCTTTACCCGAAGCAACCGCCTTGCAATCCAAGCGCTTCTCTTCTCTTCTCTTTTCCTCCCCCTCCCCCTCTCCCTTTTGCCCAACACCAGTCATTGGTGGCTTCCGGGCTCTTCTGCAGCTCCCCCTGCCAATTCTGAAAGATGGAAATGCCTCTCCTGTGGCTCAGTATTGACAGAAAGGGTGCCCCATCCTATGAATATTTAGAGTTCTCTCCAAACATGCACAGGATTGTGCCTTCAGGCTGTAATAAGGCTGAGAGAAATCCCTCAGCATCCTCCTCGCTGGCTGCCTAAGTGCAGGGGCTGCGCTGTGTCTGTTCACCCGGCTGCCTGGGGCAAAGGAGCCAGTTCGCCTGGCCTGCTATCAGCATCTGCTTGGCCCCTTGGCCTGAGCATACTTATCCAGGCTTCCCTGCTTTTGTCTCCACCAGCCTACTTTCACGGGGCCTCCTGCATCACCCCACCCTCCAGCTTGATTTTATCTAAACAGGAGAGCATTAAAACTGCTGCCTGGAGATGAGAAGCACTCAGCGTTTAAATAAGCCCCTCTGCTGTTTGTTCAGTCCCAAAGAAGATACGGGGGTTTGTTGCTGAAAGGAAGCCCGGTTTGGTGTCCTTTCAGCGCAGGCGGCCAGACAAAGGGAGCTTTGTTCTCAGTGGCAAGCCAGCAAGACCTCTGCCCTGAGAGGAGCATGCCTGCCTGCCCCTCTCAGCAGAGGTGGGTTTCGGGTCTCTGAAGCAGCACCAGGAGGGACTTCAGCAAGACAAGTATGTTATTCTGTACTGTTTGGACTGCAGCCAGAGGGGAAAAGCAATTGCAGCACTGAGAGGAAGCAGCCTTGAAATTCTGTATTTAAAAATACACACGCCACTCCCTTCCACACTGCAGCATTTGAATGCAAAAATCCAAGAGGGCCTGCCGTTAGGAAAGAAGTTAGGGAGGCCGGGAAGGTGTTAGGCATTTGGAAAACATTCTGCGAATCAAACCGTGCCACCCAGCTTCGGGGCAACGGCCTGCACACATCCCGAGGGGATATTCCCTTTTGTACGAACAAAGCTTGTACACGGGAGCCTGGCTCGACTGGGTGTCCGTCAGCCGCCCTGGACTGCAACCCAGCATGCCCAACCACCGGCCTCGCCGGCTGGAAATGCCGGCAGGAGCGAGGATGGGGAAGGCGGATAAGAGTGGCAGACGTGCCCCGAGAGGAGTGTGCAAGAGAAAGGGTTCTCAACAGAACAAGAAGAGACTCGCACGAGACCACACTGCCAACCTGAACACAAATAGCCTGCTCGCTCGCTCTGCGCCAGGAATACTGGCCAGTTCAGCCGCACAGGGAGCAAAGGGATCGGCCTACCGGATGCCGGTCGCAGGGGGCCTCCGTGGCACGGCAAGCAGGGCATGTCTGAAAAAGCGCTCGCAGCAACTCAGGGAAGGGAGCCCATCCAGGCACACACACGACATGCGTGTTATAATCCCGAACAGACGTCACTGCTCTGCCACTCACTTCCACTCTCCTTGCGTGCCGTTTCTCCTTGCACTATAAGCCATGGGCAGGGACTGTCCTGTTTAACAGACCCCACGTCTGCTGCTCCGGGAACCTTTAAGGCAGAGGAGCGACAGAAACTCCAGGTAAACAAAACAAGGGACGGCACACCTGACCCACACAGCTCAAAATTCCTGACCGACTAAAATGGACATGGAAATCCCATTCTGACCCACAAATATAATGACCAGCCAGCAGCCAGCTGGGCCTTGAGCAAACCCCACTGGCTGGATTTTCCAAAAATAAATACGGGGTGGGTGGAGAGCACCAGTTCTTCCCTACCGAGTCTCACTGCACTTCCGGGAACTGCTGAAAGGACAGAACGTGTGTCATGCCTGCAGGACCAGAAGCAACTGATTTTTGGCAAATCAGAGGACTTTTGGGCTTAAAAGCGAGAAATTCTCCTTTCCCTCCCCCACCCCAAGACCACCCCGATGTTCATAATCTGCTTTAAATGGGGCCAAGCAGCTGGAAGCCGCTTAAGCCCCACCAAGCCGTGAGGGTGGATTTCCCTGCGATGTGGGGTGCTGGCACTCGGACCGTAATTTCCGGACCAAAAGGAGATGGGCTCCTCGTCCCAGGGCCACAATCCACTCTGCTCTGGCTATGGCCTGCCATTCTGGGAGGGTGGCTAGTGCTGCAGAACTGCTCTGAGGAAGGTGGGCGGCTCACCAGGCAGTTCGGTTTGGCCTCACAGGATGGGCAATGTGAAGGAAGGTACATGGCCGGCATGAGGTGAAGGGCCGTTTTACTGAAGATGTAAAAACCACAGCTTGGATCGCAGCCACTCACCCAACCTTTCATTAATTCATTATGTTTTACACTGCCCAGTTGCTTGAAGCTCTCCAACCAGTTTGCATCCATTAAAATCATGGATTAAAATAAAGCATGATTAAACATATTAAACATGTGGAAGTTTAAAGCCACAGTATACAAAATCAAAAGAAACAGCAGCAGTATAAAGACCTGAAAATACAAGAGCAGCTTTAAAAGCAATGCTGGAGGACTACAATGCCTGGAAAAAGCAAAAGTGCCAAAAAGCCGCTGCCGTAGTCCCCAGGCTAGCTGCTCCAAGGTCATTCCACAATCTCTGCACAAGACTGAAGAAGCCTCTTCTAAGTAGGCACCTCTCTCACTTCCTTTTGCAGGGACACCTGGAGGAACCCTTCCTAGGTTGCATCCAGGCCAATACAAAAGGGAGGAGACAAGTCTTCAGGTAACATAGCCCACAGGACACTGGGTAAGATCATGCACAGTCCTGAAAATCACAGAATGCTTCATTAGGCAAGAGTTTCCGCTACTTTTCTACTGCTGACGGAGGCGCAGTATCTCCTGGTCACAAAGGGTTGCAGCCTTGGGACCCCTCCCACAGTGCCCGTTGAGGGTAGCATTTGTGGAAGGACCCCACAGAGGCTGTATATTCAGTGCAGGAGACAGTCAGTTGCATAAGGAACCACTTGGAAGGGCGAAAGGACTCCTTTGCAGGCCCCACTCTGCGCAGACAAGCCCTACACATGACAGGGTGGGTCCTGTTCAGTGTTTTTTGCTCTGTCATTGGCAGGAAACTGAAAGCAACAGTGCACACCACAGAGTTTGGACAGTGGCAGTTTTTGGTTACAGACAGTTGGGCAGCTGGGGATTGAAAGAGGATGGCCAGATTCTCGGTTCTTGTTCCTTCCAGCTCCCCTATTCTCTGCTACTCGCTGTCTAGTGAAGAGCTCTTCCTACAGAATAAGCCCTGTTTGGTTTGGGGGTGGGAAAGAACAGGCTGGTTGGCTGGCATTTTGCCCAGTCGACCAATCTAGGTTTAATGGGTGCAAAGCTGTAGAGCCTTGGATAAAGTCAGATGAAATTATGACCCACTTAAAAAATAAAAATGTTGAATTTGTGGCTTGAAGAGACTGGTAGAGAAGAAGCAAGAGGGAAACCACAAGTGTCTTTCACAGTCCCAAGAAATATTTCACTGGGAATACAAGACCGTCTGCATGCAAAGAATGAGCCCAACCCCAGTGGATGTTCATTCTTTGCCCATTCCTGGGACAAGATCCTCCGTTCAAACTAAGATCCGGGGCTGTGGCCTGCCCCAAATTCAATCTCCATCCACCACCACCAAGGCTGGAAGATATCCGGGTCGAAAACATCGACTCCACCAGCCTGCTTTTGGTACCATCGCCTGTAGCAGACGACATGCCAGTGGGATAAAGAGCACTTCTGGGATGGGGTGGGGTGGCGGAGTTAGAAACATAAAAAGTTCAGCCTGTCTCTATATTTAGGGTGTCACCTGGCAATCTTCAGAGAGCTGAAAGGCGTTTTATGAAAGGCGGCTGCTAGCCATGTGTGCTTTCATCCTCCTTTTTCTTCAGATCACAAAGGTTCAATAGGTTTTGCCCTGTTTCAAAACCTGAAAAGCCTGTGTGACCAGAGGGACAGTGGGCCAAAATAAAGCTCACACATCCGCTATAGGAAATTAAACCAGCCGCAAAGCTCTCTTAGGAACCATGGTCTGCCTCCAGCCCTAAGTCCACCCTTAAGGTGCCCATATGCCTATCTGGGTTGTCTATGAGTCTATGCAACCTTGCACGGAGCCTCACAACCCATATTCCTGGCCTCTCCAGAGGCAGAGTGGAGGAGGAATACTAGCTGCAGGTGGCACTCCAGCCAGCAGCCACATTCAGGAACATGGGCGAGTTAAGATGGTATTGCAAAGGAGGCATACAATGTTAACATTTTCATGTTGCCAGTGAACCTGCTGTAGTTTAAGGCAGTTTCTCTCAATCTTGCGCCCATTTAGATGCACTGGGTCTCAAATTCCCGGAATCCTCCTGGTCAGGGAAATTCTGGGAGTTGGAACCCAACACAGCTAGCCAGGGGGCACAAGGCTGGAGGGGGCTGGTATAGGACATGCTGACCAAAGCAGTGCTCCCTAGTGCTCCAAGGAGAATGGCAGCAAGGGACAGGCTTTCCAAGCAGGGCCCCCTCACCTGCCCCAGTTGCAGAACCCTCACCCCCCCACCCCCACCCTGTTCTGCCCAGCGCCAACGCTGCCATTGTTTCAGCACAAGATCAAGACTTTCTTTTCCCTTCCAGGCACCTGATGGTGCTTTTCAGTATTAGCAGTTTTATTGGGCCCTGGTAGTTTGTTGATTGCTCTTACCTGTTTCCAATGGTTCGAAATGTTTGCATTTTACTAACGGTATTAATGTTGCATTTAAATTTTTTTAACCCTCTTGCCTATTAGCAAATCTTGTATCATGCTACCTGTAGGTTTACAATCCCGGGTAGAAAATACAGTGACTGCTCTTGGGGGGGGGGGGGGGCGGAGAGGGGGCTTTTCTGACAGCCCTGTGATGCCTCCACCCTTTGCGTGGTCCACTGTCCTTCCTTACCCTTGTACAACGCTTCCCCCGTTCCTCAGTCCTGGGCTAGCCTGGATCATAGATTCTGGGCCGCTCCTAAGACCCCTAAACGGTAGCAGGCCTGGCGCCTTTGTTCAGCGAAGGGCGCTCAGAAGCCCAGCTGCAAGAAGCAAACAGACCCGTGGGGGAGATAGGCGCGCAGGCTCCCCTGCTGAGGAAGGAATGTTCCAGCTCAGAGGGGGCAGGGAAGCATTCAGGGCCTCCTGCCCTGGGTGCATCCATGCATGGCTGGTGCCATCAAGGGATCCCAGGGAAAAGGCTGGGCTGGGCTGGGCTGGGCTGGCTGGGCAGGCAAGTGGAATTCCACCAGGCGCCAGCAGCCCAGAGGCCGGCACAAGCATCAGCACAAAGAACCTGCCGGTTCAGCCTTGTGCTCCAGGCCCTGGGCCAGAATGGTCCAGAGGCTGCCTAAACAGCCTCTGGACCAGAACAAACGCCCAGAAATCTGCTTGCGCGGGGGCCAGGCAGCCGCCCACGGGAAACCTGCTTGCAGCACAGCCGTGCCCTTCGCTGGCGAACTCCTTTCTTGACCCACTGCAACCTGCCCGAGTGGCCTGGGAGCTCCCTTGGGTCCACTGCCCAGCAAGGCGAGTAAAACCGTGCCCCACGTTTGTGGCATGTCTGAGCTGCATGACAGAAGACCCCCTCCATAAATACACATATTCTCTACACACAGAAAGCTAGCCTGTCAGGGCAAAACTAGATGAAACCCCTCTCCTCCGACAGGTTAGCTTTC